TGCTTTTGAAAGATTCAGAAGAGTTGATGGAGAAAAGTTTGCAAAGCGAGCTTATGATTGAAAAGATAAGTATATATATTCGTCCTAGTTGCGTTGACTTTATTTTATATGTAAAATATGTTTTACACTTGACTATTTCTACTTGTTTTTGTGTTTATTGTTTTTTATGATCATTCTTTCTGTTATTTTCATCCCCCAATACTCTCATTATCCGTTAGGTTCCTTTTCATTTATCGTTGTTGTTTTCATGTTTTTTCAAACCTTTAATTGTTTAGCACTTTTTTGATAATATGTATTTTGTTCGTTTTTCTATTATTGAAATTGTGTTTTGATTTCAGTTGTTTGTGGAATTGATGTTTGCTTATCAAGGATTAAGAAGAGTTGAATGAGATAAGTTTGCAAAGCAAGCTTATGATTGAAAAGATAAGTGTATCTATTCGTCCTACTTCCGTTGAATTTCTTTTATGTATAAAATATGTTTTACATTTAACTATTCCTACTTGTTTTTGTGTTTCTTGTTTGTTGTGATCATTCTTTCAATTATTTTTATCGTCCAACACTCTCATTATCCGATAGGTTCCTTTTCATTTATCGTTGTTGTTTTCATGTTTTTTCAAACCTTTAATTGTTTAGCACTTTTTTGATAATATGTATTTTGTTCGTTTTTCTATTTTTGAAATTTTGTTTTATTTCTTTTTTTTATTACCTTTCTATTAAAATGTTATATATTGGAAAGAAATTTGAATTATTTGGAGGAGAGCAAAAGGACAAAGTATGGAAGAATATTAGGAGTTTGTAGCATGTAAAAGAGATTAATAGAACGTAAAATTCAAAGAGGTTTAGGCCATAGGGCTCGGGGATTAGAGTTATAGTTGTTTTGGGTGAAGGTTTAGGGGTTTAGGTGTTAGAGGTTAGGGGTAGGGGTTACGGGGATAAGGGCTAAGAGTTAAGGTTTAAAGGCTTAGGGGATAAGGATTTGGGTTTATTGTTCTTTCGCTTCTTTTGCTCCACTAGCTCATCTTTCTTCTCCTATTTTTGTCTCTTATTATGTTTTGTTGTTGTTATTTAGATTTTCATATTTATGTGCGTGACAAACCTATGTTGTGTTTTAATTTCAGGTATTTGTGGAATGGATGTTTGCTTTTGAAAGATTAAGAAGAGTTGAAGGAGAAAAGTTTGCAAGGCGAGCTTATGATTGAAAAGATAAGTATATATATTCGTCCTAGTTGCGTTGACTTTATTTTATATGTAAAATATGTTTTAACTTGACTATTTCTACTTGTTTTTGTGTTTATTGTTTGTTATGATCATTCTTTCTATTATTTTCATCCCCCAATACTCTCATTATCCGATAGGTTCCTTTTGATTTCTCGTTGTTGTTTTTATGTTTTTCCAAACCTTTAATTGTTTAGCACTTTTTTGATAATACGTATTTTGTTCGCTTTTCTATTCTAGGAGTTATGTTTTATTTCTCTATTTTATTACCTTTCTATTAAATTGTTATATGTTGGAAACAAAGTTGAATTATTTGGAGGAGAGCAAAAGGACAAAAGTATGGAAGAATATTAGGAGTTTGTAGCATGTAAAAGTGATTAATAGAACGTAGAATTCAAAGAGGTTTAGGCCATAGGGCTCGGGGATTAGAGTTATAGGTGTTTTGGGTTAAGGTTTTGGGGTTTAGGGGTTTAGGTGTTAGAGGTTAGGGGTAGGGGTTACGGGGATAAGGGCTAAGAGTTAAGGTTTAAAGGCTTACGGGATATGGATTTGGGTTTAGTGTTCTTTTGCTCCACTACCTCATCATTCTTCTCTTATTTTTGTCTCTTATTATGTTTTGTTGTTGTTCTTTAGATTTTCATATTTATGTGCGTGACAAACCTATGTTGTGTTTTAATTTCAGATATTTGTGGAATGGATGTTTGCTTTTGAAAGATTAAGAAGAGTTGAAGGAGAAAAGTTTGCAAGGCGAGCTTATGATTGAAAAGATAAGTATATATATTCGTCCTAGTTGCGTTGACTTTATTTTATATGTAAAATATGTTTTACACTTGACTATTTCTACTTGTTTTTGTGTTTATTGTTTGTTATGATCATTCTTTCTATTATTTTCATCCCCCAATACTCTCATTATCCGATAGGTTCTTTTTCATTTATCGTTGTTGTTTTCATGTTTTTCCAAACCTTTAATTGTTTAGCACTTTTTTGATAATATGTATTTTGTTCGCTTTTCTATTCTAGGAGTTATGTTTTATTTCTCTATTTTATTACCTTTCTATTAAATTGTTATATGTTGAAAAAAAGTTGAAATATTTGGAGGAGAGCAAAAGGACAAAGTATGGAAGAATATTAGGAGTTTGTAGCATGTAAAAGTGACTAATAGAACGTAGAATTCAAAGAGGTTTAGGCCATAGGGCTCGGGGATTAGAGCTATAGGTGTTTTGGGTTAAGGTTTAGGGGTTTAGGGGTTAGAGGTTAGGGGTAGGGGTTACGGGGATAAGGGCTAAGAGTTAAGGTTTAAAGGCTTAGGGGATAAGGATTTGGGTTTAGTGTTCTTTTGCTTCTTTTGCTCCACTAGCTCATCTTTCTTCTCCTATTTTTGTCTCTTATTATATTTTGTTGTTGTTCTTTAGATTTTCATATTTATGTGCGTGACAAATCTATTTTGTGTTTTAATTTCAGTTGTTTGTGGAATGGATGTTTGCTTTTGAAAGATTGAGAAGAGTTGAAGGAGAAAAGTTTGCAAGGCGAGCTTATGATTGAAAAGATAAGTATATATATTCGTCCTAGTTGCGTTGACTTTATTTTATATGTAAAATATGTTTTACACTTGACTATTTCTACTTGTTTTTGTGTTTATTGTTTGTTATGATCATTCTTTCTATTATTTTCATCCCCCAATACTCTCATTATCCGAAGGTTCCTTTTCATTTATCGTTGTTGTTTTCATGTTTTTCCAAACCTTTAATTGTTTAGCACTTTTTTGATAATATGTATTTTGTTCGCTTTTCTATTCTAGGAATTATGTTTTATTTATTTTTTTTATTACCTTTCTATTAAATTGTTATATGTTGGAAAGAAAGTTGAATTATTTGGAGGAGAGCAAAAGGACAAAGTATGGAAAAATATTAGGAGTTTGTAGCACGTAAAAGAGATTAATAGAACGTAAAATTCAAAGAGGTTTAGGCCATAGGGCTCGGGGATAGAGCTTTTCGTGTTTTGGGTTATGGTTTAGTGGTTTAGGTGTTAGAGGTTAAGGGTAGGGGTTACTCGAATAAGGGCTAAGAGTTAAGGTTTAAAGGCTTAGGGGATAGGGATTTGGGTTTATTGTTTTTTTGCTCCACTAGCTCATCATTCTTCTCCTATTTTTGTCTCTTATTATTTTTTGTTGTTGTTCTTTAGATTTTCATATTTATGTGCGTGACCAATCTATTTTGTGTTTTAATTTCAGTTGTTTGTAGAATGGATGCTTGCTTTTGAAAGATTAAGAAGAGTTGAAGGAGATAAGTTTGCAAGGCGTGCTTATGCTTGAAAGATAAGTATATCTATTCGTCCTAGTTGCGTTGACTTTATTTTATATTTAAAATTTGTTTTACACTTGACTATTTCTACTTGTTTTTGTGTTTATTGTTTGTTATGATCATTCTTTCTATTATTTTCATCTCCCAATACTCTCATTATCCGATAGGTTCTTTTTCATTTATCGTTGTTGTTTTCTTGTTTTTCCAAACCTTAAATTGTTTAGCACTTTTTTGATAATATGTATTTTGTTCGCTTTTCTATTCTAGGAATTATGTTTTATTTCTTTTTTTTATTACCTTTCTATTAAATTGTTATATGTTGGAAAGAAAGTTGAATTATTTGGAGGAGAGCAAAAGGACAAAGTATGGAAGAATATTAGGAGTTTGTAGCATGTAAAAGTGACTAATAGAACGTAGAATTCAAAGAGGTTTAGGCCATAGGGCTCGGGGATTAGAGCTTTTCGTGTTTTGGGTTATGGTTTAGTGGTTTAGGTGTTAGAGGTTAGGGGTAGGGGTTACTCGAATAAGGACTAAGAGTTAAGGTTTAAAGGCTTAGGGGATATGGATTTGGGTTTATTTTTTTTTTTGCTTTTTTTGCTCCACTAGCTCATCATTCTTCTCGTATTTTTGTCTGTTATTGTTTTTTGTTGTTGTTCTTTAGATTTTGATATTTATGTGGGTGACAAATCTATTTTGTGTTTTAATTTCATTTGTTTGTAAAATGGATGTTTGCTTTTGAAAGACTAAGAAGAGTTGAAGGAGATAAGTTTGCAAGGCGAGCTTATGATTGAAAAGATAAGTATATCTATTCGTCCTAGATCCATTGGCTTTCTTTTATATGTAAATTATGCTTTACACTTGACTATTTCTTCTTGTTTTTGTGTTTCTTGTTTGTTATGATCATTCTTTCTATTATTTTCATCTCCCAACCCTCTCATTTTCCGATTGATTTCTTTTCATTTTTGATTGTTGTTTTCATGTTTTTGTTAACCATTAATTGATTAGCATTTCTTTGATAATATGTATTTTGTTCGTTTTTCTCTTAAATAAATTATGTTTTATTTTATTTTATTTTTCTATTATCTTTCTATTAAGTTGTTATATGTTGGAAACAATGTTAAATTATTTGGAGGGGAGCAAAAGGATAAATCATGGAAGAACATTAGGAGTTTGCAAAGGGAGCTTATGATTGAAAAGATAAATATATCAATTCGTCCTAGATCCATTGACTTTCTTTTTTATGTAAAATATGTTTTGCACTTGACTATTTCTACTTGTTTTGTGTTTTTTGTTTATTACGGGCATTCTTTCTATTATTTTCATCCTCCAACATTCTCATTATCCGATAGGTTTTTTTTCATTTTTCGTTGTTGTTTTTATGTTTTTCCTATCCTTTAATTGCTTAGCATTTCTTTGATAATATGTATTTTGTTCTCTTTTCTATTATAGAAATTTTGTTGAACAGCAGAAGGCACAAAAGTGGCATTAATCCAGTTGAACAGCAGCTGAAATTCCAGCTGTAATCAGGTGAACAGACGCATGAAAAGCAGCTGCAAAGGGTGAGAGCAGAGGCAGCTGAAATTCATCAGAAAAGGCAGCAGTAACACCATAAGAGAAAGCAGCTGGGATCCCGCTGAAAGCCAGTTAATTCAGAGCAGCCGCTGGAACCGAGGAAAGAAACAAAAAAATAGCTGAAAAAAATCAGCTGCAGCAGCATCTGGACTGTTCACGTGAACAGTCCCCTTCTGATCAGAACCCACACACAGCCCCCAGCACTCCTTCATTGCAAAACCAAAAAAACAGTAGAGAGGCCAGCTGAGTGGCTCATACAAGCAAGAAACCAATTGGAAAACCAGCTGGAAAACAAGAAGATTCAGCAGTGCAGCAACCGGACTGCTCACGTGAGCAGTGGACTTGGACAGAGAAGAAATGCTGCTGAACAGAACCGTGAAATACCAACATCTGAGAGGAAGCCAATAAATGCCAACATGATACAGCAGAAGGCGTAAAAGTAACAATAAATCTCAGCTAGGAGCAGCTGAAGTCCCAGCTGAAAACCAACTGTGTTCCAGTCAATAAACCAACTGAGATCAGCTGGAAGAGACAATCTGCAGCAATCGCGAAGCAGTTCACATGAACAGTGCATCCAGACAACAAGCAGCAGAAAAGCAACATGAGAACCCCCACAACAGCATTAAAGAAACAGATGTTGCCTGAAAAACCAGCAGGAACAAGGGAAACCAGCAGAGTCCTCCAAACTGAAAGCACCACATCACAGAGAGAACCAGTTGGAAAGAAAATCAGCTGACTAGAGCAAAACCAGCTAAACAGTCCAATGACCATAAACCATGGCAGCCTTAGCAAAAGCCCCATCATGTGAAATGGATCCATAATATAGGTAAAAAATCACAAAAATGGCGCACTTTTTCCTTAGCGTTTTAACACCTTGTTGATCCTGCATCTGGATTAATTTAGCCCGGAGAGGAATCTTTAAATCAAGTGTGAAATCCGAAGAGGTACCCTCCAAAACAGCAAATCACAAATTCTCCAAAACTTCCAGGCCCTCATGTGCCCTTTCATTATCATTTGAACCATCATGGCCGAATCAGTTTCAATCTGAAGATTATAATTTAGAAGTCCATAACTTCTAAATAGCAATAAACCATCCTTGAGAGCATGCAACTCAGCTTCCGTGTTGGAACACACCTCATAAAAAAAAGAAGCAGCCAGAACTATGTGCCCCAAGTCATTCCTTACCACAGGTCCGCCCCCAACTCTTCCAGGATTTCCTTTCGATGCCCCATCCACATTTAGCTTTAAAATGCCCGAAGGAGGAAGGGACCAGTTTATGCAAATAATTTTTTGTTTCAGCTCATGCCTCAGCTCTACCTTTAATGTCCTCAAGAATTCCATACCAATCATGCCTTCCGTATCTTTGGGTCTAACGCCATAAGCCTGAAGACGCAGAGTGGAGCAGATATCTAGAAACACTGCATAGGCCGAGAGTGAGCTATCTTCATAGACCCTTCTGCATCGCTCCCTCCATAATCTCCAAATTACCACCAGTGGAACACCTCTTAACAAGTTCTGGCTTACAGAGTGTTTTTTAAAAATTTTAATCAGTCTCATCATACAAACCAAACGATTCAGCGGAGAAAACCTGAAAACCACGAAATGCAGCCAGTTTCCCCCAAACCTCTTTATCAAAGTTGCATTGTATGAACAGGTGAGAAGTAGATTCCACAGCCTTGTAACGTAGAGAACATCTGCTGGCCAAATCAACACCGACCCGTTGGAAGTTTGAGTCCTCTACTACTGCTTTCTGATATATCTTCCAGCCCAGCAGTTTTGCACTTGGGAAAACCGATTGGTTCCAGATCACAGAGGTCACAGGCACAGGGACACTCGAAGCTCTCACTGCCTCCCAAGCAGACTTGACATTGGACTCTCCCGAATCAGTTAATTTCCATATCAGTCGATCTTCCTTTTCGCTTAAACAAATCATAGAATTCTGTACTTCATGCTTTAACTGTTCAGATACCTGCACCCCCAAACTTTGCCACTGCTAGCACCCATCAGCCCATAACTCATCCAGGCATGGAAAGCACGAGGGAGAAACGGCATACCTGAGCAGAAGAGGGCCAGATCCAGTCCAGTTCGAACACCAAAAGTCAACATTCTTCCATTCCCCACCATGACCTGTGAGTTGGTCATAATCAAGCTAAAGAAAGGTTGCAGCATTCAAATATACGTATTTTTCCAGTACCCGTGCATCGCATCAAGTGATTGCCTCTTAGAATTTTTTCTCTAAACATGTTTGCCCACAGAGAGTCGCCCTTAAGATA